ATTGTACAACACTCGCCAACGGCAAATGTTGGCTCTTGCCGCTTTAAACCGACGTCGACGGATGCGAAAAAATGGGAAAATATCTGCGAGCCAAAGGTGAAAAGAAAAGGTGAAGAGTGCAAATTTGTAAATTGGTATGGGTTGAAATTCGCCATAGGGACCAGATAAAATTAGTAAACACAGTAAAAGTACTTGTACTAGTGTTAGTGATATTACTGTAAGATTACTGAGTGATGTGAAAGTACTGTTACTAAGTAAGACTATTCTATCACGTGAGTACTTTTCGGAGAGCGCGTGATGGTTAAATTTGAGAAGCACTGATCATTCACGCAACACATCTGTGTCGCCTGCAGTGTGAGAATCTCTTAGTGTAGTCAGTTGGCAGATTGGTAAGAGTAACTGTTGGGCAAACGATCATCTGAATCCAGGTAAGTAAATTATTTATGTCCATATCGTAATCATTGACGCGTTTTTCATGTCTAGTGGGGACGGTTTCGTGATAATAGGAAATTGGGTGAGTTATAAGCGCACAAATCTAACTCTCCTGAACATTAGGGCTTGTTTTCCATTTTGTTGCCTTGTTGTCTTGGTTTTTCAAAAACTTTTGATGTTCTTTGTGGTGTCGTTCTCTCTGCAAAAGATAACTTAAAGATTCTTTCATACGGCTTGAGATATAAAGTACCAAAATGCTAAGCGGTTCTAAAAATAGAGTTCGTTTTGATGTTGATGAACTGCAGGCTAACTTGGGCTTAACATAAAGTAGCCGCTTTGTTCTCTACACACAAAACTACTGGCTCAGACCGGTGGAAATAGTGCCGAATTCCGTCTAAAATATCCTTGCAGGTCCGTTAAATGAGAATACTCGAGGGTCTAACAGAAATATTGAGCGATTCCAAGAATAATTTTGGAATTTGGAATCAACAAAGCTAAGTATTTGTCAACAAGAAAACCTTTGTGATGGTCAGACCGCTAAGAACGGTCTTTAATGGACCAAGGCGGAAATTTAAGGAAAATTCCTGTTGCCGGTTGTTTAGATCCAGCTCGACCTAAAAAGCTTGTATGATCAAACTCCGCAACGCGCGGTTTCGTGCTAGACACAGCGTTCGCTCTCTTCACGGCTGTAATTTCACACCAATGAATCCGTTCTCTCTAGCTAGTTTTCAGATGGAATCGAAGATGATAACTTGATAAAGTCAAGTTATCCTCCAACTTGTGCGAAAGGTTTTATACAGAGCTACAGTATACTCTCCAAAGCGATATAATATATATTTATATACATGTGAGGAAGTAGCCGATACCGTTGAATAGTGCTCAATACACATGTGCAGAGCTTAATGCAATAGGTAGCGATCAAACAAGACGACACATGGTTTCTGTTACTCGGAGTTTCGTTCTTACGCACTCATCAGACAGATTTAATGAAGAACGTTCCTTACATCAAGAAATAGAGGGAGCAACATCATCTGGTACAACCCCCACTACAGCAAAAGCGTCAAGACTAACACTGGCAGAACATTCTTCAAGCTCAATATTCTAAGCACTTCCCTCGTAACCACAAATATCACAGCCTCTTTAACAAAAACAACGTCAAAGTTAGCTACAGCTGTATGGACAACATAAAATCCATTATTGACAAACACAACAAGAAAATAACCAGCAACGTCACGACACCAACACCGACAACCAGATCTAGAAACGATGCAACTGCCGCTCTAAAGACCAATGCCCACTCGACAATAACTGTTTAGCCTCTTTTTTTGTTTATTTTTTAAGAATGGCTACAAGAGACCATTTCTCTGGCTATACAAAGTATTTTGGGAATATATTTGCAAACTTATCCCCAGAGGGAACAACAGAAGAACAGATCAAGGAAGTGTACAACGAATGGGCGAGCAGGTTTGATGAGGTAATTACTTACAACTATGAGCTGAGTGGCGATATCGTGAGGTATTCTTTCAAAGTGCTAAACCTCCTTAACCGTTTCAATTTAACCCTTGGCTTCCAAAATCTCCTTAAGGTGTTACCCTTGAATCAAATCTAAATGTCATGAGAATAACGGAGATGGTTACTTATTCCAGAAGCTAGAGTCGCTCTCAATAGTGTACGCTATGGTGTTTACTGCTTCTTGTTAACTACGAGCAGATATTTTTGCGATTTGCGAGCGCGCAGTGGGCAAAATGCCCGCACATATTAAATCAATAAATTTCTTTACAGGAAAACTTTAACGCACGCGTCATCTGCCAAAAGCCCCAAGTTGAATGTTTAGACTCTGCCATTAAGAAATACCTGAACAAACCGAAGGAGGAAATCAAAATCATTGATTGTGGAGCTGGCACCGGATTGTCTGGAGTCGAACTCAACGAAATCGGGTACACCAACCTGTGCGCTCTGGATATTTCTCAAGAAATGTTGAATGAAGCAAAGAAGAAAAACGTCTTCAAAAAATTTATCTGCACCCCTCTAAATGACCAGCAGAATCCTGAGGTTAAAACTGGAGAGTACGACGTCATGATCTGCATCGGTACGCTGGCTTCTGCGCATGTCAAACCTGCAGCTATGGTTGAAATGATTCGGATGATCAGGATTGGTGAGCTTAAAAAAAGTTAGATAGTATTATTTCATAGCATAGGGTGTGTTTGTTCTAGGGATGACCACTGGTGAAGGTAAGAGACGTTTCTCCAAGTTGAACAAGGGAATACATTTGAGATTTTTCATCTATCAAAGTTTGATAGGTCAGTTTTAAGATTATGCCAGAGTCTGTAATTAACGCTCCAGCAGAGCTCAGACGTCTGTTGTGGTCGGTCATTTTTTAACTGTAGAGTTAACAAGGACCTACCGTTACCTTTTTTTTTTTTTTTTCTCGAAATGGAAACAATCAGGAGCCCCTGGAACAAGTCTTCAGCGAGGTTTTGATTATAGTTGTGATCTTTTGAAAAGAGTTTGTTTATTCATTTGGTTCATCAACTTTTAAGAATTAGCACTCAGCGATACCTGCAGAGCGGTTTTCTTAGTCGCATACTTTCAGCAACCTAATTATTTTTTACATCTCTGATCTATTTGAGTTTAGGTCGTCTTGGGTAAAGACTTGTACCAGTCTTTTCGAATGTAACAAAAACAGTCAGAGCAGCTTCCAAACTGCCCATCGAACCAGTCACCGTCATGGGTTCGTACTTCAGTCTCTCTTATCAACTTTGGTTTATTAAGGACGTATCTCTAGCCTTGGGGCTCCAAATCATAACCGAGAAAAAAGCAGTGGAAACCACTATGAAATAGATCAAAAAGTATGCATAAAATTTTACTACTCACCGGGATTTTAGACTTCAAAATGTTACCCAACTTTTCAAATAATGTCATCAAATAAGCTAAAAATTCGATTGTGGACATAATCATTTTGAAAATAAAAACCTTGACGGGCGGTGCACCAACAGGTACGGCTCAGGTTAGCGCAAAAGGACGTAATCATCATCTTAGTATAGTTCCTTATTGTTCAGTCGGATCGCTTAGAGATGGAAGGACACTGTATATTTCTAAAGATGCTGCTGAATGACAACATGAACAGATTATTGTATGCTTTCTATAGCATAATATTCCTTTAACCCTTCCAACCCCCATAGTCCACCCCTCCCATCACCCCTCCGCAGCCTATGAGCACCCCTCTCCCCATCCTCCCCCTCACACAAGCAGACGTTCTGGACTGGAAAGATGTACTTCTGCAGTGTTTCCCTAAATGAAGTGGCGCTGAGTCATAATTTCTTTCTTCTTTTGGTTTCCATTGCAGGTGGTCTGATAAGTTTTAACATTCGGTATGGTGAGCTGGAGACCTACCAACCAAAAATGGAAGAGCTGGAGAAAAGAGGCAACTGGGAGAAGGTATCCGAGGATACATTGCCTCAGTTTCATAGAGATGATATGCCTCCGACTTCAACATTCTTTGTTTACAAAGTCTTAAAGTATTAGTGCTACCACTAACATGGGGTCTCAATTGCTTTTACGGCTATCCGTTAAAATTTTGGCCAATTTACCGCTTACTGTAATATCTTTCCATTACGGCCACCACAAAAATTTTTACGGTTATGTTTTTTACGACTTGCGGTTAAACATTTTGGCTAACGGTTAAAACCATTAAGACCCTCCAAACAAGACAACAATGAAACTGTAATGAGTGAGTGAAATCATTTGACAATAAACATTTAGCTGCAGACTTTTCTCGAGACAGTTTGTTTCTTCTTCCTTGACCGTTCAGCAACAGAGAATCAGTTTCATTGGTTGATTAAAATACTTTATTTTGAAGGAAGTGACTTTGTTAGACAAGTATGCTTTATTTAACCAGAAACAGTCTCAATTTTCACTTTCTAAGGAATACGAATTTCACCAGTGACGAAAACGTCTTTTTTAGGAACAGCACCACAAGGGTGTGTTTCCTGCCCCTTCCTTAATGCCTGAATTATATTTGGAATTTCCTTACGCAATAAAACGCCTAAGAACTGACATAACGTTGTGACTTATGCGGAATTGTGGATGCGTTACCAGAATGCTAGCAGACTGTCTGTTAAGCTCGCGATAAATAGTGAGAATTATGTATGGCGAGAAAAATCGGCACGAGAAGGGACTGGGACAAGACGCAGACGAGACCCGGTGTGTTTCTCGACCCAATCCTTTTCCCATAACACATTGTCTATGAGTTTTCCCGTTAGGCTCTTCGGACCGCAAGAAAAACCACAGATGGCTGGTAATCAAGCGCGAAACGATTTCGCTATTTGAATGAATTAATGACCCTGAATTTGCACTCGAACCAGAAGAGAATCAAACAACTTGTACATTGAATAGCTTTCCTCGTTAAATTAAAGTTTTCCCTAAATCTGCCCACGCCTTTTGTTAATACAGGTTTTTTTAATATAGGGGGGGATTTTGTCATGTAGCTTATAAACCTCAAAAAATCTTGCAACTAACTAATTAACTGTAACTAATCAAAATCGAATAACTGGGCTTAGTTCACAGAGAAACTTGGCTCTGACGAGAGGCTAACGCCCGGCACTTTAGCTTTACAATCTCTCTACGGTAGCTAATTTGCATCATTAACTCAGTTGATAAAGATAGCGGCTCGATACCATCGTACGATTATTATCAAGAAGGGTGCATTCGAACAGTATAAATCAATACCTTTTTTTATTATAATGGACTCTTGGGGTTTTCAGCATTTATACTTAACAACTATTCACCGAAGTGGAGGTGGTTAGTGGTGGATATTTATCTCGCCGCTTCGCGGCTCGGTAAACATCCACCGCCAACCACCTCCACTTCGGTGAATAGTTGTTTTAGTATACACTAAAACATCGAGGTAATATACACCACCAAAAATTGATTTGAGTGATTTCTTTGCTTGTCACGGATGCAAACCGGGACGC